CCCAAAAATCCCCCCCCCCCCCCCATAACTTTTCTAATGGTCCGTCCCTTAGAGTGCAAGCAACGAGGACTATTTGATTTCGATCGCCAACTCGAGTAACACCAGCTTTGGAAAAGAGAAATAAAGACATTTCAGGGGAAATACTCGTAGTCTAGTAGTCCCCCATTTTTCCTCAGTGATAGTAGAGAGAGTGAAACGAGAGCACGCGTGAAAAGCACCCAGGCGAGTCCCCGCCGCGTGTAGCCTTTTCTCGCGTGGGGTGATTTTCACGCGCGCTCGCGTTTCGCTCGCTCTACTATCCTTGAGGACAAACGAGGGACTACTCGCAGTCTAAAGAACAACCGAATAGATTCTCAAGGAGATCCCTCAAGTTCACAGTTCATATAATGGAATAATGCTCGTTGACTCTAATAAATTAGTACGTACCAGACGAAATGTTGTTATTGGTAGAGTTTACACTCCACAGAGAAAAAATTGTAATTTTAGTACCTTATGTGACAGACTATTCAGGTTGAGAGTATTCCTTTTGAATTTATTGTCCATTTATAAGGTATGTCTGCTCAAAATCGTGTAAGAGTCAGTAATAATCATTTTCCCTGATTTTCCTCAACCGCTGTTATCTTTGTCCTAGCCTGCGAGCAAAGGTTTCGCTCTTGCATGGCTTTTAGTGTTAACGAAGTCGTTCGCTTCGCTTGTCAGTAGTGTACCTATTAACTACTCGACTGACAAGCGACGCGAACGACTTCGCTAAAGGCCATGCAAGAGCGAAACAACTGCTCATATAGTTGTGGTTTACGCGTTCTCGGAGCACAAGGCTTAGGTGTACGCAACATGAATTCTTTGCATATATCCACTGATTTTTGGGTTTTATCACGCTTTTGTATTAGGCCAGGAGCCTGATTATAATGCTTGTGCCTTTTTCAATCGCTTTGTAATTGCGACCGTAGTTTATCACAGGAGAGTTTAAGAAAAGCTCGATATTTTGAATACTTCTTTTTCTTTTTGCAGCAGATCACTGGCATATTTTTGCCCTTCTTGTACCAGACGGATAAACGAAAAGACTCACAAAGAAAGTTGTATTGCTTGCTCGAAATCTTTCCCCGAATTGTAGGAGCGTGATATTGAAAGAGCGCGATACTGTCAACAACACCGCGAACCTGTCAACATGAATACATGTGACCAATCAGAGCATGATACCAGACTCTGGTATCATGGAACGGCGGCATCACAGGCATTTCTCCAGGCTCCCGCCTCCCTTTTCCCCTCCCTAGGCCACCGCTTCGCTTGCTTCGCTTGCTTCGCTCGCCGATATTTCGAGGTATTTTTCCTATTTGACCCCGTTTTTTGCCTTTTTCTTCCGCTACGCCGCACGCGAGTAAAAACCTCTAGTACCCAGGGTAAGATTTACTGATATAAAAACCAATCTTTTTTAAAACCAATCAGAAGGCTTCAAGAATCTAGAAGTTATTTTATAAGAGACAAAAACACAAAACAAAAAATGGTGGTTTTTCATTTGCACATTACTCACTTTATTATCCCCAATTTATACCTATTACAAGCACAACCCGTAAAAGTGTCACCTTATCCCTTTAAAACGATAGCAGTTCATGGTTATAGTTATGGCGGGCTTTTCAATGATGCTACAAGTCAACGTGTCTCTTACGAGATATCACTAAAGGTTCAAAAAACTGCTGTTGTATTTCATACAATCATCTCGGAGCTGATATAACAGAAAGAGACCTTAAACAAAAAAGAAAATGGATGATCGACTGGAAATGCTAAGGTCGATTTCCGTCGATAGAGCTGCTGCGAAGAGACTCTTGCGCGCGACTGAACAATAAAGGGGCATTTACTTCGTGTACTGGACACAGATGACGTAAAGCAAAGAATAAAAACTAAGAAACAATACTTAGCAGAGTTTTCCGTTAACAGAAAACAAGATATCTTTTGCCTTAAGTCATCTGTGTCCGGTACACGAAGTTTTGACCAGTAAACGATAATCGACTTAGTCATACTCTCCACTTTTTGCATCTTTTACCGCTGAAATCTCGTAGTTTTAATGCAAAGAGTTCTCATTTTATTCCAAGTTCGCGAGGCGGAGCAAATACACTTTTCAGGCGAGCGCTTTTCAGGGCTTCGTTGCCGGGCTGCTTGCAGCCGTTTCGCTATTGCTGCACCTTTGGATATTTTAACTTTGAAGAAAACTAAGAGACTTCACAGCCGTTGTTTGGGTCATCATGACACAAAGAATGGATGCGTGGCTTAGCTTATGGCGACTGTCTTAGAATACCAAGTAAGGTTTTTAATTTGTTGTATCAACCAAGAGTTGATTATACAAATCTATTACTTTTCTAAATTAAACTATACGATCACTACATGAATTCAAGCCCCTAAACTATCTCTATCAACGACCCTGAATTCGGTCCCACTCCACTTTCACAATTTTACGACCGTTGTACTCAAAAGCCTCCAATATCTTCGAAGGGGGATCACACGCTGGCTTAGGAACTTCGGCTTCATAGCACTCGAGGTATTGGAAGCTTGGGTTCACTTTGTTGTTCTGTCCCTCGAAGGATAGCTCCATATTGCTGAAGCAGTGTCGCATACGATCTCCCACGCACTTTTCAGGTTTACCGTCTGTTGAAAAACATATGTAAATCTGTCCTGAGGTAGGTTCGATTACCGTCTATCTTTTGGATCTGGGGCCCGTTTCTCGAAAGTCCCGATAATTAACCGACCCGAAAACAGGAGCACCCAACGACAGTTTACCTGTAAATACTTTAAAAATATGCACTTTTTAGGCTATCTAGAGTACTTTTGGATCTGTAGAAAAGCATTCCAAGGCGCTCTATTACATTTTAGTGTATCTGTTCGGTCATCCTAGGGCAACTTGAGCCTCTTCGAAATTACAAGGGCTTCAGTATGATTTTTCCGAAAATTTTAGATGCAATTTAACGTTTAAAATGAAAGAGAGAATTTTTCTGATTCCTCTCTCCATGGCATTTTCGAATCCAAAAATTTTAGGTTTATTTTTTCTGCGAAAAATAGCCTTTCCTGGGGAGTGAAATATGAAAAATTAAATTCAAGAAAATCGTATGGAATTGATTAGATAAGCTTGAAAAATTGTACATGAATGGAACGGTACGTCATCTAGAATTTCTTAGCCGTTCTCAAGCAATAGAATATTTGTGTCGACGAATGAGACGCTTTCTAATTGAGTCGTTGGCTGTTCTGTGTGTTCGTGGGTGGCCTGTGCATTTTCCAAGCGTGAGAAATCGAGAAAAGAGGTTGTTGGTGTGTTGGTTCCAAATCTGCGCCATCTTGAAACGTCACAATCGGCATGCAGCAAGTAATTAAGCCCAGCGTGCCATGCGCCATTTTGAAACGTCACAATAGTACGTTTGGTCATAAAAGTATCCATTCCCACCGCGTTCCCGTTCCTAGCGCGTTTCGCAACCTTTAGATCTTTGCTTCCTCGACGTTTAATTTGGGATCTCTTCTTGCTTCCTCGTAGCCTGCGAACTGCAGACGTATTTCTGGTCGTCGCTTCTCTCCCACCGAAAATATTTAATATTTAATATTTATTTGTCCGAAAATTTCGGAGGGAGAGAGGCGACGACCGGAAATATGTCTGCACATCCCAGGCTAGCTTCTTCGTGAACTCTACAAACTTCGAGGCCAAATCAATCTTTTCTTTTCTAAATCTTTCCTACATCAAAGGCTGATCAGGGAAGTATTCACTATTCCTGGAGCTTTTGCGACGCCTGATGTTCAAACTGCATATTCTATCATGCTGCTGCTAACACAAATCTTAAAAATGGAACTCATTCAAATGAACTGAGCCGTACTTGGCACAAAAGAAGTGAAACGAGTCATTTTACTTAGTCAAAAGTAAGGATTTCTCGTACTCAGTCAAATAAAATCAGTCGATCAAATGAAACGAGTCGTTGTACCCGCTGGCCATTGAGCACAATGACCCATTCACGTACGTACCAGTTTAACGGAGTCATTGCACTCGCACTCTGACAAATTGCGGTCACAAAACAAATAAACCGAGTCAATGTACTCGGTGGCCATTGCGCCAAACAAATGTTGTGTACTAGACACAGTTACCTTCGCTGTTGAACCAGAAAACCGAGCTTCATTAGAGAGACCTAAGGCGACGCACAAAAATCCACGATTACTGCTAGTCTAGCAAATATTTGCTTCTTCGAACAGATGTTTTACAGAAAACAGTCGCTGGGTTCCCCTGGGTTCCCCTGCGAAAAGCTGTCGCCGTTTACCTGTTGGTCTGGAATGTGGGTCCCTGATCCCGTATCCCGAGGCGTCTGTAACCTCTACCCGTCACCGTTTTCTTTCCCTAACCCGCATCCCGGTTCTCCTCCCATCTCTCCCCCCGAAAGAGCCCAATGAGATTCGGCGGAAGTAAAAATCGACCATTAACGCCGTGTTGATAGGCCAAAAACGTTTCGTGAGAATACTGAATGTAATTCGCCATAAATTTACCCGTCCAAACCCACATAATGTACTTATGTTCCTGAAAACAAGGTTCTTTCCCAATATTTTCGCTAAAATACATGGAAATTTAACCACTGATTAAAATCCATAACTTCGATAAGAATCGATTAGAATCGATAGTTATCGATTAGCAACAAATTTTTCCTCCATCGATTTTTATCGATTTTCTATTGAATCGATCGAGTTTATCGATAGTTATCGATTTTTATCGATTATCGACTCTATCGATTGTACTAGGAGGGAAATTTGGTCAACGCCAGCTGGTTATGAAGAATTAACCGAGGGATCAAACTCCGTTCTTTCTAAGACTATTTAAAAATATATTTCGTCTTAATTAAACTTTATTACGTATATGACTCAAGGCTTGATCATGATAGCAATGATGGAATCGGCCGTTTACGAAAGGTCAAAAATTCCTTAAGGGAAGTAGGCATCAGCGAACTTACCAATTTTCTTCCAGCCACCCTGTTCCATAATACCTACAGTTCAAAGTGAAAGAAATGAAAAATGTCATGTCCATTCATCAAGTACGCACTACCACGTTTCTATCAGCTACTCCTCCAACCATCTTTCGACTTCAGGTTTATGAAAGGGTAGGCATTTCACTAGTTGAAGTATATGAAACTGTAGGAAAAGCTGTCACTTCGGTCTGAAAAACGGCTCAAAATAGCTAACAGATGCATTTTATAGCTGTGAAAAAGTCGAGAAGTTTAACCACTCAAACGAAATTTAATGTGTGTACATTACAGTTTTCCCCCTATCGGCAAGACCGAACGCGCGCGCTTTGCGTGGGAGCAATTCAATAGAAAAGTTTAGATTCACGTTTGAAACGATAAACGAGAGATTCAAGTTAACAGTTTCTCTTATTTGGAAAAGGCAGGTTAAAACTGACCAAACTAGTTGTTATAGGTGAACCTGACACAAAACTGCTTTATAATTTTGCGCAGATATAATGAACATTAACTGTTAGAGAGAAAAATGGGTTACGTGAAGGCAAAGCCTCGTTCGCCGTTTAACTCTTCTTAACTTAGAGATGTTCAGATTGAAGGAAAGAGGACAACACGAGGACGGCATTATACTTAAAGTTTTTCTCCAAATTTTTTCAAAAATTGACACCCCGGAAAGTTTTGTTCACCAGAAAAAAAAAAACATGGTTATTTTATTGAAAGAATTAAAGCCCTCTTCCTATCGCAAAATGATAAAACTTCCTCCATTTGATAACTTGTCTCCATCACTACGACATTTTCGCTAAAAGTGTAGTAGAATGATGACTATCAAGTTTTCCCGCCAAAACGGCGCTGATTCACGCGCGCGCTTTTTTAGTATTAGTCCTCGCAGTCAGTAGAATCGAAGTATAATTTACAGGTCTCTTATCTAGCTCCCAGAGCGCCTGTACGTCTTAGACTGTGTGGGCTTTCGAACGGTCATACCTGAGTTTTCTGCGATGGATTTTATCGGCATAATCGGCACATTTGCACACAAGCCGACTTGTTGAGCGATATAAAGGTGCTGGTATTCATAAGCTGCGGAAAGGTACATAATCTTCTTAACTGGTCCCGGTGAATTGTTAATTTTCCCCACAAGGCATTCGTGGAATTTCTACAAAAAAAGAGAACATGATCAAAAAGAAGTAAGATGAATTTGGGGTTCTGAAAACGGGTGGCATTCATCATTTTTTTTTGATAGTTTATAGGTGCACCTACGAGCTAGTCGCTACCGCCTAGGCCTAGATACAAATATCACGAAAAATCACCTAAATATGTTTCCAGAAATTCCCAATTTTTTTTCTAAATATCTCGGAAACGTTCTAAATATCTCAAAAATATCTGGTTTCATTTCATAAATATTACAGTAAAAACACAAAAAAAATAGCCAGTCATCTAAAATAGCAACACAAATTTCAGCCATTTTGTTGAACATTAGCCAGACTGCATATATCATAAATGGAGAATGTTGCTGAATCATCTGATTACAACAGGCCCATATGTGGAGATTTGTTTGAATTTCTGTCACTGAAATGCCATGCCCTAATTAGCATTGAAGTAGCTTCCTAGAAAAACATGATTTCAGTACTTTTTTCGTAACAAAATTCTAAATATCACAAATGTTTTCCTAAATATCATGAGATTTTCTAAATATCTCAAAATCTTCTAAATATCTTTAAAAATATCCGGATATTTGTATCTAGCCCTACCACCGCCTGTTTAACATGAAGTATTTATAACAAACTAATTCCACGCTGAAAAGATAACTGTGGGTATGTCACTTACCCCAAAAAAAGTACACACTCTGTCTGCTCTTTCTGCTTCTGTTTTCGGGGGCTTAAGCGCTACTTCATCAGCACCAGCCACGTATCCATCGCCAAGACAATCGCAAATCTCTTGAAAAGCCTCAGCATCACCAGTGCCACCTCGGCGTAACAAATCCAGGCGAATAGGTTCACCCACGGCGGACGAGATAGCAAAGAGGGAAATAGCAAACACGATAGTCGAACACATATTCACTGCGACAAAAAGAAAAAAGAGAATCTCTTTGCCTTAACGAACTCATGATTATATCTTTCACAGTAAGTGAAAAATAAAGCTAAAGATTTTTGGATAGCGTTTAACGTCCCTTTTTTCGAAACCAAAAATTTTAGGAGTACGTTCTTCCAAATAATAGCCAGATCAGGTGTTAAAATGATCTGAAAACGCATCTTTCGAAAATCGCACGGAAGATAATCGAAAAAAACTGTGAAACTCAAACGGATGAACAGTCGATTAAACTGAAATGTCTAAGCCTTTCCTGAGTTAAAAAAAATTTTGCTGAGGCAGTATAGGCTTCTTCGAACTTGTATTTTGAAGAAGCATTATTTTTGAGAGATGTTATCAGAGGCACCCAACGACTGTTTTCTGTAAAATGTCATAGAATAAATATTGCCTAGAATTTTCTGTTGCTTGAGGAGGGCTAAAAATTTCTGGATGACCGTTCCATTCATGTACAATTTTTAAAACTTATCTACTAGAAAAAATCCCCCACGATTTTCTAGTTTAATTTTTTGCTTTCACTCCCCAGGTTAGGCTATTTTTAGTAGAAAAAGAAAACCTAAAACTTTAGGATTCGAAAATGCGATGGAGAGAGGAATCGGCAAATTTTCACTTTCAAAAAGCATAAAACTGCATCTTAAAATTTCGGGAAAATCAAAAAAGACTCAAGTTGCCCCTAGTATGACCGAACAGATACAAATTTTATAGCGCCAGTTAGAATGCATTTCTAGAGATCTAAAAGAACTCTGAATAGCCTTAGAAGCGTCTTCAGTGCATTTGGGAGGAAACCGTCGTTGGGTGCCCAGTTTTAATTAGATCGGGAGATTTCAAGAGACTTGCAATGGCCTTTAAAGTTTAGATTCTATGCTTGACTCCTCGCACTCAAAGAAAAGAAAAAAAATGCCAGCATTACTTTTTTCAGAATGAAATATCTTTTTCCCACCTTTGCCAATCTTGAATTGTCTCCGTGTGCAATCTGTAAGTGCCACTTATTAGACTGTAGTTGATAGTTAACGGAGGTGTTTTTAAAAACCCATTTAACTAATTTAGATTCTCTGTTAATGACGCAAATTAATGGTAAATGTTTTTTTAATGATTTGTTTGGTAAATCATTATTTTAATGAGGTAAAAGTTCTCCACGTTACTCCAGAAATTGTCTTATTGAATAGTGTCATCGTCGTCGCACAAGGCAATTTATTTGAAACTAAGCCATATTTTTCGGCGTATAAGGGAATTTATTACTGTTTCAACAGATTTCGTGATCTGACCTTTGTGAACCTTCGGAATATTTCCAGTTTTCATATTCATAAGTTGAGGCAGCTGTACCTTTTACATTATCGTTTCAAATTATCTGAGAATGTTCCAAGCTGTTTTTTTTGGAAGACAAATAACACGATTTCTTAAACGGAAGGATAAATTACCCCCATTCAATTGAAATTTAAGTGAGACAGCACTTTTTAATTTGCGATGTACTTGCTAGAATATATGTTTTTACAGTCTTACCGCCTACCGCTATCCTTAGCTGGGTTAGCTATCGAGAATATGTTTTTACACTCCTACGTCAGGGTGAATACACATTTTTGGGTCCAAAATGACTGTGATTGAAATTGAGTATCCCGTTTTAGTTATCATCTTTCTCATGCACTAAAATCCCGGAACGAAAATTAACAGAAAAGGATGAGCGTATTCTTCGACATATCAACTGAACTTAGAAAAAATTGGCTTAGTTTTCAAGTTTCAATTTTTTCTCGATATTGGCCGCCAGATTAAAAACCAAACTTAAGGTAGAAATAGAGTAATCTTTAACAATATTGAAACATTTGTTGAGGTCTTGATTTTAATGTTATAAGGTTTTAAAACAATACCAAAAAAGCTAAACAGCTTCCTCTATTCCCTGATGTTGCTTTGCGAAGAATCATCGTTTTTGATGTGCGGAATAACCAAATGCACAAACGAATACTTCAAAAAAGCTCTAAATTTTCAGTGCAGTTTTTTTTCTTAGACATTCGCTGGCACGTGTAAATATATGTAATTTTGATTTTCGGGGCAAGACGAGGTACTCCTCTCCTAAAATCTCTCCGAAAAAAAGAGACTGAAATTATTGTCGCAAAGGCCTAACACGGGTGGAAAATTAATGTTTCGCTCTTTAAAAATTTCCCAAAATAAGGTAAGACTAAAAAACAGTACCTCAGTTAAGTTGTATTCGATCGGAGCTACGTTTTGGGTTTGTATACTTCAGTCAAGGAACGCCACAAATACTGATTGCTGTACAGTTTAATTATTTCACGATTAACGAGTGGCCAATAGTTGCTAGGGAACCTGTGCTATTGTAAAGCAAAAGCTGCATTTGTATAATACTAATAAATGTAGACAAATTGAAGATAAAAACATTCAGCTTCAAAAAGTCAAATTTTATATGTGCTTAGATCGATTTCTCTTGCTCAAGGCAAGTCGTTTTTCATTTTTGTCAGAATTTATTCAATATTGTCGACTACGACAAAAGAGTTTTTATCACTATCATTATTTTCAAAAACAATTACAAAAATGCTGCCAGTTTGTTTTATTCATACACTAATTACTCAGCTTTGAATCTATCAATGAAGTTTAGAAACATCCCCCGCGACCCCCAAGTTATTTTTTATGGCTGCATGTTGCTAACAACTAACACGAATCAAGGATGGCAGAGGTTATTCATCTCTGTTGATAGACTTTTTATGACTATTTTTAAAAGCTTTGCTTTCGTTCCCTTGCTTTTCGTTGATCAAATCAAAGCCATCAAAATGCCTCACTTAGTTTAGATTACTTTAGATTAACATTTTGTCTTGAGTGCCTTTACTAACACTTGAGACTGTTTTATTTTCTTTCTTTTTTGGTGGTATCGTTGCTTCTAGAATTCGCATAGTTTTTGCTAGACCACTGATCACACGTGCTAATTTGAAATAACAAAATACGATATATATTGATTATGTAACTCAATGTTATGTAATTTTAACTGTCATATTTTTCGTTTACGGGGATGTTATAAATGATCGATACTTTAGTATTTGAAAACTTGAATACAACTAATCAGTCTGTTCACAGATCCAGACCCAATATTTTCTTTTAGGGATCTTCGAGCCGCGCGTGTGGAAATAAAAACTGCGGGGGATTTACTGACCACAATCGCAAGGGGGTAGGGGTGGGGAAAAGAGGAAACTGACTATTTTCGTCTGTCTTCTTTTCTCTATTTCTCGCTTGGCTTGCGCTCGGCTGGTAGTAAAAACAACGGAAAAGCATCTGTAGACAGGATACAACTTTATACATTATCCTCCTGCAGGAACCTTCAACTTGAGGGTTTTTAAAAACTCTCCAACATACAGTATTTTAATTAAAAAATGTTCAAAGCAGGCCGCGGCCCGTCCAATATTAGATTCATTTAAATGAATTACGCTGAACCTTAGGATTATAACGCACTATTACCTCCACACAACAAATAAACCCGAGGGGTTGCTGTGTTTTATTTTCAAACCCACGCTCTCTAACTATGTGGCGTTTAGTCGGCGTACACTGAAGGTTAAGAGAGAAGCACAAAACCCTCCCAGATCGCGCGCAGACTGCAAAACAGTCCGTATTTTTGCGTATTCAAGTACGCGAGAGCAGTCAAACAAAAGGTCTGGAACGAGACTGAAAACAGAAAGCGAGACTGGGGAGAGACGCTACGGGCGTGTAAGGCTCGCGCGCTTCTTGTGCGCAAGACCTACGCCACGCTTTACCGATTTCTTTACTGATTTTGAGAAAAAAACCGACTGTTTTGCAGTCTACCCAGATCGCATCTACACTGGAAAGCAAAATACAACACAAAGAATAAGAGTATTTCATTTGTACATAATAACTTCCAATAGAGCAATTTCTTTCGAATTAATTTAACTCATTCCTGTCCTCATATAAACCATACAAGTTGCTTCGTTATGCAATATTGTTAGTTATGTAATGGGATGAAGCGTGACGTCACCTTACCATGGTAACAAAATTTCTGGGTCTCAACAATCTTCTTGACAGAGACGGTCATTTGCATTGTCGAACGATGGAAGAAACGTATGGGCTACCGTTTTGTTACTGAGTGCAATCATGCTCTGGAAAGTCATATACGTCAACATTTTCGTCTTATTTTTCTGCCATATTTGCTAGACCGCAGATTGTTGAGATCCAGGGCCCAGTTGTTCGAAACGCAGATAACACTATCCACCGGATAAATCTCTATCCTGTGGATAACGCAATTGGTTTCCCTAATACTTATCCGCTGGATAGTGATTTTTCGGTTGGATAGCGCTATCCATTGTTTGAACGACCGGGACCAGAAATTTTGTTACCATGGCAGTGTGACGGACTTTTCCTCACTATTTTTAACTTAAAACATGAGAATTTTTTCTCAGTTTACAAACCTGTTTCGTTCTGAATTTGCTTACATCTAGTTCCATTTCCAGTATATTACCCCAAATCAGCAGGAATTAGCAATCCTGTTGCCTTGGGGTTCCATTGTTGAGTTATCGTTCAATCAACAATGATGGTCAACAATGATCAATGCAGGTAAACCAATTAACTTTCACTTGCGTGCTCCTCGAAAATGACCCTCTTGATTTACCAGATCCTCTCTTTTGGACCGGTTGGCCAATAGCTCTTTTGCATAAGTTGATCACGTGAACGAACTGTTTTCGTCTTTACCCAAGGTTGATCACGTGTTCAACTAATGAAAAAGGCCTATTATCTTGGGAATGGGGCTACCTTGGTTAGTCGTTTTTGAAGGCCCAAAGGGCGAAGAGAGAAGCGAAAAGGGAAGGTCCTGATGTTAAGGCTAGGAAATGGCTTAAAAATTATAGTATTTCTTCGGTTTAGTGGGCCCTTTTTTCACTGAAAATTCTTCTGGAAGAAAGTTCTCCAGCACGAGACAGACAGATAAGGCGAACAGTCAAGTTTGCAGGTAAACTCTTAAGAAGAACACGAAAGCAGCAAGCGCGGTAGATAGCTAGCTCTCCCGCCCATTCTTGGAAACTTTCGCACCCGTTTTTCTCGAATCTCCACTCCCCAGTAGCCGTACCCTTCCCGTGATGCCTTGTGATCTATGTTTTCGCTTTATTCGAGACAGGAACATATCGCCCAAATTAGAGAATCCGGATTCCGGAATCTGGGAAAGATTTGCCTGTGGAATTCGGAATCCCGGAAAATTTTGTTTGTGAAATCCGTAATCTTGGGTTTTGGAATCCGGAATCCCACTAACGAATTAAGAATGCAAGTTCCATTGACAAAGACTAGAATCCAGTACCTGAAATCCGGAATCCACAATCCAGAACTGTCTTGGATTCCCTTACATGGGGCGAAACATACACTTGGTACTATCATGAACGCGGAATTTGTACAGAAAAAACGAAGTCAGCGCAGAAATTATCGTTTGATATGCAATGGATTCCAACAAAAAAAAGTTGCTGGACAGAATAGCAGATATTAGGATGATACACGAAATGAGCTCTGCACAAAATGCACTCGATCACTTGAAAGATTATTGCAGTAACTCCTGAACAACCAAGCCCCGGGTTCAGTGCCGGTTGTTCAACCGGGTGTTAAAACGATGGATAGCACAATTGATTTCCGTAATACTTTTCCGCTGGATAGTGATTTATCCGGTGGATAGTGCTATCCAACCCCCGGGGGGGGGGACACTTCCTTATAAGAGGCTAATGGGAATGTGCCGCTGGATGGGGTCGCATTTTCACGACTGGATTGAATATAATGGGGTGGTATTTTCAATAGGGTTCACTAGAATGGGTTCGCACATTTTCGGATTTTTGGGGGTGAGAAAGTTGTTCATATTTACGGTTAGTAAACATACCAGAATATTTGCACTGTAGGTGAAAAGTAAAGCGTACTTTATTCAATTTATTAAAAAATGGGTCAATTCATTTTGGGATGACCTATTTAAGGTGATTCCCTAGTTTTGCACTGCGCATCTCTTACTGCGCATAACAAGATGGCCGCCGTAAAAAAGAGCATGTGAAGTAATATTATTAAAATGAAGTTGACTGAAGAGAAACGCTATTGGAATTTTTGCTTGCTGTTGTTTCTTGCCGAGGTGAGACTCAATGTGTTGGGAATGTGCATAACGTAAGCAGACGCGTGTTGCTGAGTTCGACCTCCTCTCGGAGAACCTCGATAGTGGATGTTTAACTTGTGCTTACTCACTTTGATTTTCATTTAAACACTTTCTTTATCACATTGTGTCCTAAATGTGATATCTCGATGTAAATTCTGTAAAAACGGATTTTTTAATACTTTCTTCCCCCTCTCAGATACATTCTATTTTGAAACTCTCCCCAGTCCACTCTCAAAAATCGGAGAAAATGCATTTGGTGCGCACTTTCTGCAGCTCTACCGCAAAAACGAGTGCGGTGACCCCCATTTTTTATTTTATGATTTTAATAAGGACAGTGCTTCCTTTCGATGAGAAAAAAATTGGCACAAATCTATGTTCAGTTTTTTGGCAATTTCACTAAATTGTACGGATTGAGCCATCACGGGTAGAGAAGCGCGCGTCCAATTTAATTCTACTTTGGAGCGTAAAGTAAAAACAAGGGCATTAAAAGGCATTTTTCTGGTACGTAAGTGGATAAACAATACATTAAAGTCAAATTCTGTGTGATGTCACATGCATCATCGAAAAAATCTCTCCTTTTTGTCTAGTTCTGCGCTGCCCGCGGTTTTTGTAAAAGGGTCATAAATAGCCGTATTTGTCAGCATTGTGACGTCAAAACGAGCACGGTGACCCCCTCTTTTTATTACTTTTTTATCATCTTCTTGACTTGTTACATCAGTGTACCAAGTTTTAGCAAAAATCTATGTTAGGTTCTTTTACTATGGAATCACCTTAAAGGATTGATAAGGTAGAAACATAAATAGAAAAGTGACTGAGTTGGGATCGCGAAAATTACATATTTGCCCAGAAGTGACTAAGATGGAGTCTACAATTGGCCATAAAATAGACTATAATGGGGTAGGGGCTCCGAGAGGCTAGCGGCACATACCCAGCAAAAATTAACCCAAGTAACCCCCCCCCCGTATCCAATGTTTGAATAACCGGGGCCAGAGCTTTACCGTGATGCTGTAGAGATTTATAACCCATTTTCCAGCCTTTGTTGCCTTTCCTAACAACACAGATAACATCAAACGTTGTTTGCAGGTAGCAACTAGGACTGGTGTTTGCGTAGTAGTCAAGTCCGGGGGGGGGGAACACAACTTCGCTGGCTACTCTATTACGGACGCAAAGTGGTTTGTAATATCTCTCAATGTAATGTTTAAAAAACGAGGAGGAATGTATTGTCAGGTTTAAAAACGCGAGGGAAAACCGTAACTGCATGCTCAAGCTGGAGAATGCTGGGGGCTGCGAAAGAAACTAAGCTCATGGCGACTGTCTTTGACCACCAAGAAAGGTATTTAATTTGCGATTTTAACAAGGAGTTGATTATAACAATCTAATACTTTTCCGAAACGACACGATTGCTACATGAATTCAAGCCCCTGCACCATGTCTATTTCCTAATTCTGTCCCACTCTTTTTTCATGATGAAGCGGCCATTCCAAATAAAATCGTTCAGCATCTGCGAAGGGGGATCGCACGCTGGATGAGGATCACTGGCTTCATAGCACTCGATGTAGTTGAAGCTTGGGCTAACTGTGTTATGCTGGTTCTCGAACGATGTCTCCATATCGCTGAAGCAAAAACCCATGCGATTTGCCACGCAGTCCTCAGGTTGACCGGCTGTTAAAAAAAACATAAAAGCTATCTTGAGATAGGTTCGATTTCTGTCGCTCTCCTGGTTCCTGAACCCCTTTTCTCGAAAGTACAGATAATTAACAGGCTCGAAAGCTGTTTTAGTTTATTTACATTTTATTTCGAGCGAGGTGTCAATAGTTTTGCAGATAATATGACAAAACTTTCAGTAAACAAAACAAAAGGTACTGATTAGTTAGTCAGGAACTCGCGCGCGTTATTTCTCCCTGAATCTGATAATTCTATAATAGGTGACTTGTCATGGGCCCATTACTCATTACTCAAGGCTTGGCATCAGTGATATGCAATTAGCCATTAAAAAGTCAAAGATTGCTTACAAAATGGAAGAGTAGGTATCGTTATACTTACATATTTTCTTCCAGCCATCCTGTTCCATAACACCTACAGTTCAAAGTGAAAAAAGTCTCACATCAGTTCATCAAGTACATTGAGGCACAACCATTTATTCTACCAGCCTATAAGCTGGGGTACTCCCAGACAATGTCAAACTCCTTCGCTTCTAGCTTCCGGTTCCGGTCGCGCTTTGCGCTCGAGAAAAGTTATGAGCTCGACTTGTAGGCAAATCTAGGGTACTCCCTATAATTATCTATACAGGAAGGCTCAGGCCAAAATGGGTACCATTTTGTAGGCTTCAGGTATAAGAAAGGCTAGGGATTTAAATAGTTAAAGTATATTAAAGGGAAGGGAAATCTGTCATTTCGGTCTGTAAAACGGCCCAAAAGAGCTAACAGATGTATTTTATGGCTGTGAAAGAGTCGAGAAGACTTCCCGGTTTTATGATTTATTTAACAATTAATGAATGAGGCTGAGTATCCTATGAAGAATTATGGAGATCTCGGAGGGTGTTATCAACGGATAACACCCTCCTCGATCTCCATAATTCTTCAGATGATACGAAAGCCGAATTCAATAATTGTTTTATTATTCATTCAAAATAATTCCTAGTTTGAAAACAAAGCGCAAATATGCTCACCTCCATCGATGTTAAGTTCACCTTCGATAGGGCACGTTTAAGGTTGTTCAGCTCCGCAAATATTCTCCAAATAGCAGATGTCGCCCTTGAGTTGTATTCTTGCTGTTCTTGCCATGTTTTTAGCTTTAATTTCGCCTAGTTCTTACTCTTGAAACGAGTGAAATGTCCGCCATTTTTTGTTTTCACAACCAAAACAACTCAACCTCGTCCCCAGGTCTTCTCGGTTAACGATGCATTAACCTGTAGAAGGCTGCATTTTTGACGTCATGTCCTCGTTAGACACAAAATTCTTCCAAATTTGGTCATCAGTAACTGGTTATGATGAATTATGCGTGTGCTTCTAGCCAATCAGAATTGGGAAAATATTTTGAATGAATAATAATGGTTGTTAAAAGACATTGCAATTATTACAGCAGTTAAAAGGAATGAAATATTCTAGGGCATGTGAAATAGGTATCATTTGTCAATAAACTAATTTTGTTCGATAAAAAAATATGATAAAAAGTCTTACATTTGACTCGATCAAACTCAACCTACTTTTGTTTCCGTCACTACAACATTTTCGCTAAAACCTGTATAGAATGACGACTATCAAGTTTTCCCGCCAAAACGACGCTGTTTGACGCGCGCACTTTATTTAGTATTAGTCCTCGCCTTCAGCAGAATCTAAAGGTCTCTTATCTCGTTCCCAGAGCGCTTTGGCCCGTCTGTCTTAATTAGACTGTGCGGGCTTTCGAACGGTCATACCTGAGTCTTCCGCGATGGTTTTTAGAGGCGAAATCGGCACGTTTGTACACAAGCCGACTTTATGAGCGATATAAAGGTGCTGATATTCATAAGCTGTAGAAAGGTAGAGAATCTTGGGAACTGTTCCTGGTCCATTTTCAATTTTCCTCACAAGGCAGTCATGGAATTTCTGCAAAAAAATATATCATATATATCCCGCGTACCGTTCACTGCATTGTACAATTAACTCTTAGATTGTAGTTAGCTCTCGACTAACGAGGGCGAAGTTAGTCGCCGCGTCTCCCCCAGTTTTACTCTACAGACCTTTGGTTAGGCTGCTCGCGCGTTCTAACCAAATAAAAAATACGGACTGTTTTCTGGTCTAGCTGTTGGCCGGACAGCATTTCTTGGGCGTTGCGTATAGTCTTTGTGTAGATTTGTTGTTGGCGAAGGCCTGATTACCTCGATTGGAGGTGAGAGGAAAAGATCGGAGGGATATTTTTTACGCACCAAAAAGAACAAAGTTTGTTTCCCCTTTCCGCTTCTGTTTCCGGAGGGTTACACGTAGATCCACATCCTAGGGAGGTGAGGAAAAGATCGGAGGGATATTGCTCACCCCCAACAAAAGTACAAACTTTCTTTGCCCTTTCTGCTTCTGTTCCCGGACGGTTACACACATGTCCCCATCCTAAGGAGGTAAGAAAAGGAACATTGGGAAGTCGCTTACCCCCAAAAAACTACAAACTTTGTTTGCCCTTTCTGCATCTGTTCCTGGGGGATCATTCGCTACTTCATCAGCACCCGCCACATATCCTTCGCCAAGACAATCTGCCATGTCTTGGTAGTCAGTGCCAGATCTTCGTAACAAATCCAGGCGAATTGGTTCGCCTACAGCGGACGAGATAGCAAAGCCAAAAACAGCGAACACGATGATCGCACACATAGTCACTACGATAAAATAAAAAAATAATCAGTCTCTTTAAAGTAGCCAACTCAGATCTTTAATTGAAACGTCCATGAGGATTTTATCTCAGCTTCGCTGGCTTCCCATCAAGTATCGCATTGGGTTTAAAATTTTACTTCATGACTGATAAAGCTATTCACGGCATGGCACCCGATTATATCTGCAAATTGATTAGCCGGAGAAAATCAACAGGATATTCCTTTAGATCCACCCAAAAAATATGCTTGAAGTTCCAAGCGGCAAGATACTCGCTTGTAAATTTTTATTACAAATCTTTTTACCTGCAAGCAAATTTTTTTCATTGTTAGTCTATTTGACGTACTGTAAAGCGCATTTGATCTTGCTCCATGGAAATTGCGCTATATAACTTTTAATTAATTGTAATTTTAAAACAATTTTTTAGCTGCAAATCCAAAAAGTGTGGTTGTGACCGCTTGCAAGAGGTGACTGCCTTTGAGAGGGTCAAACTGTATTGATCACTGACTAGAGATCGCAAAAAAGAAGAGGTTACATGTCGATCACTGAGGGATACTAGGGGGGATTCTCAATCACGATGGTTTTCTCCCAAGTGATTTTTATTTGAATGCCTGAGTAAAAGGTTATCATAATCTTTCTTCCAAAAAATTTTTTGGGATAATTTTCTATCCTCTTTTTAGGGCATTCAATCATCAAATTGTAGACATCTGGAATTAGAGTGAATTGACTTTTTAAAGCTTCCAAATCTGAATTAAAATTTCGCACTAACCCAGGTTATCTTAACACAGCTTTGAACAACAAGGACCAGCCTATTCGAAAAAAATTAGGGCTTTCTTTCTTATTTCCTCTAAACTCTTACACGCTTTTTAAAGGTTTACAATTACGAAAACGAACAGACTTTTGGATAGCTATTACCTTCACTACTTTCGAAACGATTAATAGCTCAAAACGGAAAGTGAAATGTAAAAAACACAATTTCCGAAGGACGGAACTTTCTTTGTATTTTACAGAAACAGTCGTTCAGAGATTCTGTTAGATACAGTAGAAACCCGCGCCGAGGAACCTGATTCTTAAGAAACTGTTAGGCTAAAATTTGCCAGTTAGACCCCCTCTATACAAGAACCTCATACTCAATGCGAAAAAATTACAAAGCAAGTATAGTAGTACATTATTAGAATAAAATGTCTTTTTCTTACCTAACCAGGCTCGAGTTCTCCGTGTGCGTAATCTTTGAGTCTCACTTGTTAGAATAGTTGAAAATTGTACGGAGGATTGTTATAAAGCCATGACACTAATTAAGATATTCTGTCAATGAGTGAAAATTATTCAAATGGTAAATGATTTTTTAATGATTTATTTGGTAAATCATTGATTTAATGAGGTAAAAGTTTTGTACGAAACCCTAAAAAATACCTTTTTGAATTGTGTCATTATAGTACAACGCAATGTATTTGAAACCAGCTCATATATTTCGGTGTATAACCGAATTTGTACCATTGATTTTTGCGTTAATAAATTTTGTGACTCATCTGACCTTTGCAAAAATTTTTCTGGCTGTTGAAAATGTTTTCAAATTCCGTATTCATAAGTTGAACCACCTGCAGAACATAACACTCTGTAATTATGGTCTCAAATTAGCTGAGAATGTTCCAAGCTGCTATTTTGCATAAGTTACAATTAAGCACAATTAAGATGACAAACAATACCTTCAATTAAAATTGAAGTGAGACAGCACGTTTTAGTTAGTGACTGGGATNTAATGATTTATTTGGTAAATCATTGATTTAATGAGGTAAAAGTTTTGTACGAAACCCTAAAAAATACCTTTTTGAATTGTGTCATTATAGTACAACGCAATGTATTTGAAACCAGCTCATATATTTCGGTGTATAACCGAATTTGTACCATTGATTTTTGCGTTAATAAATTTTGTGACTCATCTGACCTTTGCAAAAATTTTTCTGGCTGTTGAAAATGTTTTCAAATTCCGTATTCATAAGTTGAACCACCTGCAGAACATAACACTCTGTAATTATGGTCTCAAATTAGCTGAGAATGTTCCAAGCTGCTATTTTGCATAAGTTACAATTAAGCACAATTAAGATGACAAACAATACCTTCAATTAAAATTGAAGTGAGACAGCACGTTTTAGTTAGTGACTGGGATACACCAATCGATACAATTTGTAGATATATCTTTTTAAAATCCCACCGTTTTCCCCCTTTAAGGGAGGCAAGGTGAATTTCACATCATTGGGTCAAAAATGACCGTGATTAAATTGGGTATCTTTCTCATGCACTGAAATGAAAAACAAAGCATTTTCTTGGCCCAGTTTATTTGAAGTTGCTATTTACGAGGCCAGGTTAGCGAGGTCCCGTTATCCCTAATTTCTGCATGTATTTCTGAGCAACCTCGTCCCCAGGACGCCTCCTTTTGTAATTGATCAGAAAAGTCGCTGTTGTTTCTGTTATGCCTTGAAACACTTGAAACTGTTTTATTTTCTGTTTTTGTGTTGTCATTGCTCTTAGAATTCGCATTTTTTTTTTTACACGACCATTACACGTGCTTATTTGAAAATCATAAATAGGGCATTTTCTGAATTGATTAGAATATCGCTGTTCTTCATCACTAATATTTAAGCACTTATAACTTAGTGATAATTATAGCTGTCATTTTTTTCCTTTTTTGCTTACGGGGGTGTTAATGATGCTTCAGTATTTGAAAACTTGTATACAACTTTATCCACTTTTTTATATTTTTTAAACCACAATCTACCTTTTCATCAATTTTCTTCATTTCGTTTTTCTCTTTTTTAGATGTGAGTTGTCTGCGGAATGGCCAATCAAGAATCACGAGTAAATAAAAAATCACGTTTCACGAGAAAAACATACTCCAATCACGCTTCACGAAAAAAGTATGCGGGGACCTTCCTCCAAAAACGTGAAAACACTTACCCTCACGTTGTAAATGGACAGCAACAAACGAAAAGCGTGATAAAAATGGGGGCAAAAAAAAAGGCACGTGGCAATCTTTGCCTTTTGCCGTTTGGCTTTCACGCGAAACTTTTTTAAACTGATTCTCTAAAATATAAAGAGGAGAAGTCGTTTCGTCACGTTGCCATGGAAGCAAAAAAAAACCCGTAGTCCTGGAAATATGGCAGAAAAAACAAAAGAAGTTGACATGTATGACTTTCCAGTGCATGATTGCTTTCAGGAAAATAAAAACGGTAGCCCATACCTTTTTTTCACCGTGCGTTCGACAATGCAAATGGCCGTCTCTTTCAAGAAAGGTTGTTGAGATCCACAAAACGTGCCTCCATGGTAACCGAATGCTTAGCCTTGGAATTACAACGCACTATCACCTCCAACAAAAAAAAAACAAAAAAAAAACGAGAGTGTAGACTTGATTGCCTTTACCTAGAAAAGAGCCAAACCCACGCGCCTTAATTAAGGTTTAGAGACTGACTCACCGTATTATAAACGAGAGCTTGGTGGTATACCTAAATATAGACTGCTTGCAGTCCACCTTTTCTCTTAAAATCCGTCTAGTTCTTGATCTCATCCAGCGCGATCGCCAACCACGATGTTATTATATAGGGATTGAGACGAGACGAGAAAAGACGGGTCTCTTAATTCTTCTTCTCGAGCTTACGCCCTCGTTTCTCGCGGCAAGCGGCTTCGCCGTTCGCGTGCTTAGGTTTTGCGTGTAGCAACTTTGCAAAGAAAAATAAGAGACTGCTCGCAGTCTAACCTAAATACCCTAATGATAACAATACCCTGCTCCAAATCCCCGACAAAGACCACGACTCCTTTTTTTTTTTTTTAAATTTTACTTTAGGCGCAATCCATTTTGATCTTTCTTTCTCGTTCCCTTTTTCCATCTATCTTTCTTTTTTATGTCCAGTTTATGGTCTTTCCTTATTTAGGATGGTCTCTTGATCATGACAGGCTAAATTTCCAGGACTAAAAGGGCAAATTTAATCTGCAAAGAATAGTGTGTGAATAATAAAATTGTGGATTTTTTCCCCCAAACGTTCAGTAGTTATTTTCTTGTATGTAACTTTTAGCTGCGTCTTGAGACGTAATTTAACCCCGGTTAGTAACAGACATGAACAGAGTTTAGTCTCGTCTGGAGAGCAGGCTAATGAGATACCTGTGGAAAAGCGCTCACATAGTGAGTTAGGGATCGCTGTGTTATAAATTATCAAAAAAACTGATCTGTAATGATTTCCCAAACAGCAAACCGAGGAAATTAGACAGAAATGAAATGAATACAATCGAAAATATCATGCCTAATAAGAAACAAGGAAGCTGTTCGCGAGCTGAGATGCAAAATCATCAGGGCAAAAAGGCGGATGACATTTTAGACTTATCCTGTAAGACCTTGTTCGTTTCTCAAAAGGAGCGAATTGGATGTAGTCTACTGCACAGCCGTATTTCAGTGTAGTCACGCAACGCTCCTCCCACAATTCTCAGCAGCCGTTTGTGTGGAGGAGCGTTGCGTGACAACACTAAAAACGGCTGTGTAGCATACTGAGTTGGACTAGCCCCCTTGAAAACGTCCTTTGGGGTTCGTTTGTCACGTATTCATTTCTCCCCCATGGAGAAGTGGGGGAGAAATGAATACGTGACAAACGAACCCCAAAGGACGTCTGCGGGGAGGCTAAGTTGGATGTTCATCAATAAAATTGAAAGTCTTGAGATGAGAGATCACTGAGATGTCACTGAGATCTACTCATCGAAATGCCAATAAATGTTGTTGCTTTTGTTGTTGAGAGATATCATTGCTTTGTGGTTCCCCAGCGGGTAAACCTTCCGGTGCTGCCCCTCGGCGTGATTAGAGACAGGGACATTACAGGGAAGCGTTACACTAAGTACTATATTGAACGCGGAAGTTGTACGACAAAAAACGAAAGCAGAACAGCACGGCCTCGCAGCATGTATTTGCTCAGAAATTGTCGTTTGATACGCAATGGATTCCAACAGAAAAATTTCCTAAACAGAGTAGCAGCCATTAGGACGATACACGGAACGGGCGCAGCCCAAGATGCACTCGATCAATTGAAAGATATCGCAGTAACTCCTGACCAACCAGAGCTTTACAAAGATGCTGTGGAGATTTACAACCCAGCCTATAGCTACGAACATCCAGCCTTTGTTGCCTTTCCTAACAACACTGATGACATCAAACGTTGTCTGCAGGTAGCAACGAAGACTGGCGTTCGCGTAGCTGTCAAGTCCGGCGGGCACAGCTTCGCTGGCTACTCCAGTACGGATGCAAAGGGGTTTGTAATCTCTCTTCAGAATATGAGTAAAGTAGAGCTCAAAGGAAACACGGTTACTGCTCAAGCCGGAGCGTGCTGGGGGGATGTATATTCCGCTGTTGATCAAACAAGTTATGTTGCTGTGGGAGGGTGCGTTCCTTGTGTTGGTATAGGTGGGTATATTCTCGGGGGCGGATACAGTATGCTTTCACGGGCGTATGGTGGGTTGGCATGTGACAAGGCTTTGGGTTTCACCATGGTAACTGCTGATGGGAAAGATCTGGTCAAAGCATCAGCCAAGGAGAATCAAGACCTGTTTTGGGCTTTGAAAGGATGCGGGGGTGGAAACTTTGGAGTCTTGGTTGATGTTACTTTAGAGTTATCTCAGCGACCAAATCAGTTCATCTGGAGTAGAATCACTTATGACTCTGCAGAAGACAGTGAGCAGGGTTTTAATTCAGTTGGCAAGAGTTTGAACAGCTTCCCAAAAGAGCTGAACCTTGACATGGCCATTCATGGCTACTTTGGTAAGAAAACCCTCACTCTTGATGCTGTCTACTCAGATATCCATGAGGACAAGGTCAAATCAAGTCTTGAGGCTCTCCACCCAGGATCAGAATCACCACCTCAGATGTTTGCATCCTACCTGGAGTTTACCACTGAGTACAGCAAGCGCCATGGCTTTGTTCATCATGAAGTAGAACCGATTTATGTCAAGNAGAAAACCCTCACTCTTGATGCTGTCTACTCAGATATCCATGAGGACAAGGTCAAATCAAGTCTTGAGGCTCTCCACCCAGGATCAGAATCACCACCTCAGATGTTTGCATCCTACCTGGAGTTTACCACTGAGTACAGCAAGCGCCATGGCTTTGTTCATCATGAAGTAGAACCGATTTATGTCAAGGGTGCCATGATTGATTCCCTTCCACCATTGTTGGCCAAATATTTTGCCCATGTTGAGATCCCACCAGAATGCCTGTTAGAATTTGTTCACATGGGTGGTGATATTGCTCAGTATTCTGCGACAGCTACAGCTTTCCCTTTTCGTTCAGCGCAGTACAGTTTTTATACGTACGGCCGCTTTCATGATCATGAGCAAAGAGAGGAAGTTGAAAGATTTGCAACATCAGCATATGAAACTGTTAAGAACTCTGGATGTGGGCTAGGTAGCTACGTGAACTACATGGACCGTCATCTTAAGAACTGGGGCCACAATTTTTATGGAGTGAACTATCCTCGCTTGTGTGAAATAAAACAAAAGTGGAATCCTTTAGGCCAGGGTTCATTGCACTTTCAACAGGAAATTGGATCCTCTTGGGAACCTAATTAAAGGGCTGAAATTTTATGACCTAACAAAGATGCAATTATAATGCAAGAGTCTCTTATGAAATCATAGTTGCAATGATCGCTTTTGATAACATGACAATCTTATAGATCATAGTGAAGATCGATCACAAAGCCTTTCTGATCAAGATTGACAACATTGCACGTAGTTGTGCAATGACGACAAACGAATCTTCCAAAAAGTGTGCTGCATATTCAGTTTTTGTTTTGCTTATTAAGCCTGTTGCTTTGTTATTTTTTTATGTCCTCCTTTGCTGTCATGATTGGTCAAGCTTGCTAGTAGTAGTGTTTCTACGCAAAACAATTCTTGATATGTGACGATTTTGTTGAAAAACTGACGATTTGATGGAAACACGTCAAAAACCTCGTCTTCAGGTACCCATGGAGTCGTGCCTCATGCATTGACGATAACTGAATTAAATAAATAAGGTAGATTGTGCCAAATCTTACTCCTGTGAGATTATTTTAAGAGCCTGTCCCATCCCCTGAATAATAATAATTTAAGCAAATTTTTAGGTTAACCCTTTAAGTCCCAAGAGTGACCAAAGTCAATTTTCTCCCAACAAAATCAATACATAATCAAGGGAAAATGTTGTGAGAATCAATAAATTAATCACCTGATGGGAAAAGCTTTGATCTACAAGCAAATTCTCTTAACCAATTCTTACAGGAAATGTATGGAGATCAGTCTGGAGAGTTTGTATTTGGATACTGGGGCTTAAAGGTTAATTAATTGAAAGTCAAACCTCCATGTATGTGACCATCTTCAGTATCCAAGAATAATCCCAAAAAAGTTTTCTCAGTCAAAGCATCTGAAAAAAACATCTGATTTAGTTATCCAGACTATTAGATTTTCCTTTTGGGTAAATAACCATTCATGCTTTCACTTGCCCAATGGGCAATTATGACCACCCGGCAGGTCATCTTCTAACTACAATCATGGACTAAAGCCTTGGGACACTTTTGCGTTTCTGGGGCGTTTTCCAATTCACACAGGTCCAACCCCTCCCCTCACCCCACAAACAATGTTGGACGCGTGTATCCAGAATTTTTTCCAAGTTTCAACTTTGTATAGGATGGGGGGAGGGAGAAGTGCAAGAAAATTTTGAAAATGATCACTTCACACAGGTCCAACCCCTCCCCTCACCCCACAAACAATGTTGGACGCGTGTATCCAGAATTTTTTCCAAGTTTCAACTTTGTATAGGATGGGGGGAGGGAGAAGTGCAAGAAAATTTTGAAAATGATCACTGTTTTAAGACGGAACCGAGAAATGACAGAAAAATATGCATATATATTGCAGTACTGTCCCAAGGACTTTTGTCCAGGATTGCAGATGATAAAATAGAGCACTGCTTGCCCTAAATTATAAGGACCCGCTCAAATTCAAAATTAATATTGTCTTCAACAAATTCTTGGCATTAATTTTTGGTGCTTTTTGTGCTTGCTTGTTTACAAGGGGCTCAGCTTTATAAAGAGTACTATATTACAATTAGTAGAAGCTGCTGTAAATCTAGTTAATATACATAAGCCTAAATTTCAGCCATCTCCTCAAGTCAGAGTGTTTGACTTGAAGGAATGGCCAAAATTCAAGCTAAGTATACTTGTCATCATTTTATTGTGTGGCAATTTATTCCTGTGGATCTGTGGTTTTTCTCGTAATTTACAGGAACCAATTTTTGTGATTTTTCCTGTCCAGACCTCAGTCCATTGTTTGCATTGGAAATTAATTTGTAATCATGATTCTCAGAGCAATCACATTTAATATAATCATGTGCTTATTTGAGTCAATTACAGGACAGGTAAACCAACATCCAACAATAAATATCAGTTTAGAGATGCCAACCTCTGTAGATCTAAAATCTGGAGACTCTTTTTTTTGCATAACCCCTGGATATCAATGACCAGAAAGCATAAAGCAAAAATCAACCCAGGCAACAAATAAAGCCTACATGAAGTAAATGAACTACAATGGGAAAAGTTATTAGTAAAGTATAAATGATGTCCTTGTTTTCTACAAAGTTTTGACAGCATAATTTGAAGGCTATAACATCATCTGACCTGGTAGTGAAATATTATGCCGTACTGCCAGGTCCAAAGGTGATTCAAAGTGATTTAAACTTAACATAACTTTTACCCGATTTAGTTGAATTTGATGTAAGTTTTTATTCTACTTACCATGCGAACTCTTTAATTCCAGTACAAAAACGTATGTTAGCTTGCCCAACTGTGGTATAACCCATGGACAACAATCTTGGTATTCCTGTTTCATAACCTACAAAACCGCCCCATGAATCACAGCGAGCGTAGTTTCAATATGGCCGCCGTCGGTGAATGAATGTCGCTTCTCTTCTCTCGCTTATTTTTTCCCTATACAACACATCAAAGTGGCGTGATACACTCTAAACTAAACTTAATTTGCTGCTCGAAAAGAAAATCACCAAAGGATTAAAGGTAACAACCCACGTTGTTTTAATTAATAACTTAACTTACCTACATATGTTAGCTTGTTCCTTGTCATTTGTTTCCTCGGTCCTTTCAGGTTTTTATACAATGCAATTGTCAATGTGTGAAGAAGGTGTCTCTTCGGAAGTAAAGGGTATTGAAGACTGGAAGTCATGGAACTTTCTATCGAACTTCCATCCTTCTTATTACGCAATCCCTGCTAGCAGATATTAGAGTCTACTTTTCTGTTTATTCTTAGCGAGATAAAAGTAAACTGACACTCTGCGCTGAGATGTAACGATTTGTGTTGAGCATGCATTTTTTTTTTGTCACTGAGTAACCAAACAATTTTCATATGCTTGAACTTTGTCCAAAACAGTGTATTTTCATGGTATTCAAACAGATAGCTGTTATTATTAAAAGTATGTTTTCTGATAATGACCAGCAAAGGGTGAACTTGTACTAAAAGGATCTTTGCGAAAGAACTAATACAGAAAAGACTAGTGCAGGGTTGTCAAAAGTGGCCGGCTAATCTGCTTGGCATTTCTTTACGGATGGCATTTGTTAAATAAAATATCCCTGGACTGGCCGCTTACTTTGACAACTTAGCCATCTACTTCAAAACTTTCTGGCAACCCTGCTAGTTAGCTATCCATTCGATAATATATTGTTTCAAAATTTTGTCAAGACAGATAGACAAACAATGGCCTCCTTGCCTCCTACAACTCTGCCTAATCCGCCAGTGCCTGTTCCACGACCATCTGGGCGAACCACAAATCCAGGCGCACCAATTTCCAGACAAGGGCGTGGCACTCCTCGCCGGAGTTCATCTCGCTCCATAAAGAGAAAGAAGTTTGATGATGAACTTGTTGAGAGTAGTCTTAAGAAGGCCTCCAAGCAGAGAGTTGACATTACAGGATTAGAGAAAGAAGTTAAAAGACCAATGGTAAAGTCTAATATAAGAATAATACTGGTAAATACATACACCACAAAGTCACTGATTTGTTTTTGAGTCTCGTTCTTAGAAGAAATCCTATTAGTTTCAACCTGAGAAAACATCCGACATGACACCATTGGTTTCCCTGCAAAATGATGTTTGAGGAATGAGTGCATAAATAATTTATTTTATACTGATGACATGTCAGTGTAGACCCAGATCTGGGTGGTGGTTCTGATTGGTTGAAAATTTGCCTTATCCAATTGGAGGGACTACCAAGATCTTGGTAGTGACATGTCATCAGTGTGGAATTTCTACACTTGTTCCTCAGACATCATTTTATGGGAAAGCTACCGGTATATTATTAGTTTTGGATTATAAAAACTTTCTTCTTATTTAATCCGTGTTGCAAATAGACACAAGTTCTACCCCGGCATAATATAACTTTGGGAAGTTATTAAGAGTACAGTCAAAGCTCTCTTTACAGACCTTCACGTAAGCAGACACCTCTACCTATGGTCATCATGACAAAACCGTGTTTAAAGTCACTACTCAGTTCTTGATTCTCAAAACGTTTGAGAATTGAGTCTTGAGAATAACTACTATCACTGTTGCTTTTCCTTAACTTCCCTATTGTGCGGGCGAAACTATGCCCCAATCCATAGTTTGGAGGGAACTTATCCCAATAGTACTTCTTTGCTTACATTCGATCTAAAATATAATACAAATCTCATTTTTTAGCCTACAGGTAAAGGTCCAAAAAAACAGCGAAAGAGCAAGGTCAGGAAAACTACATGTAGAGGTTTATTGCTGTATCATTTGCTATTCTTTGTTCTTTTTTTATTCATTATTTACAGTTGACTCCCGATAACTCGAACCTTCATGGAAAATCCAAAAATATTTGAGTTATCGGGAGCTCGAGGAAAATAGCCGGAAGTAAGGTGAAAAACAGTTTTTACTGTAGAGTGAACGTTTTAATCACATTTTTTTGCAGAAATGTTAAGTGAAAATTGAAAGATACTTTCAGATTATAAATCATAACTTATAACGTAACAAAACATAGTCTAAATAAAGCCTGCGTTTTACTGTTTTGAGAAGTAAAGCTGTTTCATGTTAGATTTGTGAGAAACAACAGCAGCCTCCACTAGTGAACTATATCTGCAACACGTCAATGGGACTTCAAAATCCAATGTTTCAGACGCCAGTACACTGTTTTCCTGACTTTTTAAGCGCTCAAAACATGGTTCAAGTTATCAAGGGTAAAATACTAGGAATGACCTGATGGGAAACGGAAATTGGTTTGAGTTAGCGGGAGTTTGAGTTATCGAGGGTTTGAGTTACGGAGGGTAAAATTACAGTAAATGTATGACGGAAATCCAGGGGAAATCGATTTTGGTTAGAGTTAGCACAAGGTTCGAGTTAGCGAGGGTTCGAGTTATTGGGAGTCAACTGTATTGCTCTTATTTTTTTGTCTTGGTGAGGCATGAGAGGTGGAGGTCATATTGTATACCCTTGGATTACCTTAGACTCAGGCTATTTTTTCATAGTTTGTATTTCCTGATGGAAAATCTATTTATAAACTTAAACCTTTCATTCAAGAAGTG